TTAAATCTATCACAGTTCGGAGCATTATTAACTTTGGTAGATAGTTCCTGCATTAATGTGAAATGTATTACTCTTTTTTTTCCCTCTAAAAATGAGACAAAAAAAACTAAAGTTTGTTCACAAAAGATCTAAGATTAATTAAGGTATGAAAAGTGTGCAATCTTTTGTTTGTAATCTTAAATTTTAATTATTTAAATGCACCATAATATTGGTAAAAAAAAAAGAAGCTAAGTGCCAAACCCAATCTTTATTCTTGAGTAGAACCTAATCTTCACTCACTGGGCAGTTAATTGTTTTCATCCAGATATTTTAAAACACGCACCCTTGAATACCAAAATCTTACAAGTACGCTTCTTTTGGAAAGCACTTGCATTCTTTGACAAGAATAAATAAAAGTTTCAATAAAAGTGTTAAAAAATTGGTATTTATTATTATCTTTTCAAATTTTTCAATAAGTCTTCACATGCATCTGTTACAACTCAGCCATGCCACACTGTGGCATGCATGCTGTGGATTGGCCACCCCCGATTTACTCTATATAATTTTTATTTATTAACCATCAAAGGGACCAATAAAACCAGTTTAAAGTAAGCTTTTTTGTTAGAATTAATTTATGTTTGTTACTTTTTTGTCGTACTTTTATCATAGAACGTACAAAATCATGCATACTCAAATACTTATAAAGCCATTTATATATGTTCATAGGATGTGCAATTCAGTCTTAATTCTTGTTAAATTTTGTAATTTTAAAGGATAGAACATTCGATTTTTCTTTTCTTTCACAGTAAAGGAGAATTGCTACAGTTAATGAGCAAAACACACGTTTTCTATTCCATTAAATAGATAATACTAAATTGTCAATTATTCGTAGTAAATTCATATTTTGTGTCATTTTTTTAAATGATTCATATGGAGCTGAAAAAATAACTATTATAGAAAGATTTGCTATCCAATGAATTATATACATATATATATATATATAAATTTTATTCTCTAAATTCATTTTATTAAAAATAAAAAATCTGATAATTACAGATAAAATGTTTCATTTATGTGTTATTTTATTTTCAGCTTTAATTGCTACATTTGGTGATGTCAATGCAGCTGTTGAAAGACTTCTTTCTCACGTACCTTAAATGATAGGGGAAAAAATAGGGAGAGAGAAGTATTTTTATCCATTATGCAATGAATGCTGATTAGCATTAGCATGAAATATTGAAGCAGTTTTCAAAGATATATCGCAACAGCCTTTCTCAAATATAGTTCACATACATGCCCTAAAAGTTCACATTCCATAGGCTTTCAGAACTTTAAGGGAACTTTCTAATTTATTTCTTATATTATTATATTCTAATATATTATTATATTATTTGTCACTAGACATGTACTTATTCATGTTTTGTCATCACTTAATTATTCATTAACTTTTCATTTAATTGTATCATTTTAAAGATCCAAAGAGATGTATAAGAGTTTTAGTGCAATAGAAGATAGTTTAAGAAGTTTATGGTATATTTTAAAATGAAATTTGATGTATAACTGCAAGGGAATATAACATTGTTTTCAATCAAGGTTAGTGACAGCTTAGCTATTTCAGTGAGTGATCAAATCTGTATCTCATACAGATACTTTTAGATATTTGTTATAATAATGCAGTAAATGTTAAATGTACTTAATATTTATTGCATTGGTATAAAAATATTTAAATTTATTATATTGTTTACTAAATGCTGATAAATACATTGAAAAGGATATAGTTTTAACAAATTTTATAACTTTATTTTAAATCTTAATTGGTAAAGTGTGCTATTTGGTTTTGCTTTTTTTGGATTATTACTGTAAAATCTCTGTGTATTTGTAGGAGAATTCTTTTAAAGCTGTGCATTTTTTTTCTAAAAATTATTTTTTTGTTTCTGAAACTTGACTCATCATTATTTTTCATTAATGAGATCTTTTTCACATAAATTTTAGTCTTTATCTTGACACAAAAATAAGAAAATGAGAAAATTAGAAATATTATTATATGATTGTTCATAGCATTTGTTCATATTGTGCAGCAAAATTTTTAAGTAACTTGATTGACGTGTATGTGTGATATTTGTTAATTTTTTGTGTCATTTTGCTTCTGATATTTGAAATGTAATTGTTTGTAAAATATTCTGATGAGATTAAATATTTTTATGTAAGTGAAAAAAGGAATTGTATTGATTAATGTAGTTACAAGAGTTTGAGAAAAGCTGTATTTATAACAGCAATGATATGCATTTTTCTTGTCAATTGAGGCCAAAATCTCATTCGAGTGTTAAGTTCAACATGTGATGTGTTAATTTTATCTGAGCTTGGAACAAATGTGGAAGCTACTGATATAATTCTTTTGATCATTATTCATTGTCTGTATTATTTTTAGAAATTGTATTGCATCAATAAATTTTATTTCATGAATCAACACTAATGTGAATTTTTTTTTCTGTTGTTACATATAATTTTTTAAAAATATATCATTAAAAAAGTAAATAACTAGATATTTTGTGATTTAATCAAATAAAATACATAATTTGGAGTGTTTATTCTGAACTGTATTGTTAATTATTTGTGTTAAATTGTAGACTTAATTCTTAACTTCAATTTAACTTTGTAATACTTTTTCCTTCCTGTTTTTAAAAAGAATAATTGAGTTTGAAAAATAATGATACTGCAAATAAAAATAATTTGAATAATCTTAAACAATGATTTATATAGGTTAGAATGAATGCTTAATATATTATATTTTTATATTTAGTATTTAAGTCTTTGCTATTTTTTACAAACATTTTTCTTAATTTTTAATGAATGGAAAAGAATTTTATTGCTAGGAATAAAATAAATAATTGAAATAATTAATAATTATCATGTAAGATAAATTAAAAGTAAAAAAATTTAAAACAATACCTTTTAAAGCACCAAAAACGGTTAACAATACCTTTATTCCATCTTTCAAAGAAATGATGGAAACAAAATCTTGAATCTTATAATTTTTTTTACTGACAAATCAAACTCTGATGAAATGTTCTAATTTTTTAGATTGTTTTAAAATGTACTCTCAGAAAATCTATTTTTTATGGTTTCTAATTTCTGAAAAATCTATTTTATTTAACTGCTTTGATTCTAATCAGAGTATCCCATTATATGCAAGTTACAATTAATGATTATGCATTTCAAGGAAAATAACTACAATTATACTACTAAATATACATTAGTTGAGATTCCAGTAGTGGTAATGGTGGGTTTTTAAGTTATTTTTTCAAGAATCTCTTATTTAGACTTGTAATTTCCACAATGTATTGTAATGCATGATGTGCAAATATTTCTTGGAATTTTAATAAATTAAGACACTCTGCTTAACTTATTAATAGCTTTGATGGATTTTATCTGAATCCATAATGCTGTAATAAGGGTTGTTTTACTTTCAAATTAACAGCTTTTAAAGTTTTAAAAAACTGCATGATATGTAAGATTTATCAAATAAGGTACTTATTCGTTGTTCTTCCTGTTTTATCTATGGTTTAAAATTATGAGATCTGTTGCACATGAGTTAATTTTGCAGCTTCAGTGCAGCATAAATTAAATATAAATAACTGTAGGAATTTATCGTGGAATATCAAATTTTAAAAATGTAGTTTAAATGTCATTTTAACATGATGACACAAGTATTTTAATTTTAAATGGAAGCCAGACAAGTAGTCAGGCCACTCCATTAAGAGCTCTAGTTTCACCTCATAGTGATAAATGTCTTTCTTTACAAGCATTATAGGCTTTTAATCCTGCTGTCCTTGAATAGATTTGTTGAGGAGAAAAACAGATTGCAATATGCAGTGAAAATCGTTTAATACGAAACTGAGGGAACACTTAAATATTTTTTTGTGTTAGAAGAATCTCGTGTTAAAGGATATGTATCCCCGTATATCAACAAAATTAATTTTATTAGAGTACATTTTATTTACACAGATATGTGTACATGTTTGTATTTAATAAAAAACAATGAAACCAAAACATTTACTGGAACTTAATGAAATTTAATACAAAATTTTCTAAATTTTTTTGAAAAGCAAAACATTTATTGAGTTTTTAGAAAATGCTCTGGTATTTTTCTTTGCATTGTCTTTTTCAATTCCTACTATTAGTTCACACTCTCCATATATATATATTTATTTATATATATATCTTGTTTAAATTTTCAATCTTTAATAAAATACTTTTTTTTAATGATTCCATTGAAGTTTAAAAACATTTTTTTAAACTTGTAGTGGCTGACACTTGATGTTAATACAGTTTTTTTCAAATGTTAATTTATTAATTAAATTTAATTAATGAATAAATAGTAACAAACGAGAAAAGTTGTTCAACAAAATACATAAAAGAGAAAATTGCTTGTTGTATCCCTGTAGCACAAGGGATAGTGCATTATACTTCTAATCCAAAGGTCGTAGGTTCGAATCCTACCTGGGATGGCCTAATTTCTGAGAATGACATTTATGAATGAATAAATAGCAGCAAAAAAAAATAATAGTCCAACTCCATCTATAGAAAGGAAAATAGAAAATTGCAAGGAAAATCGCTTTCTATTTTGCCACTTAATGTTGTGATTCTGTCATATGTACATACATATTTATATTAATTGTAATTATTTAATAAAAATTAGCTAAAATAAATTTTTTTGTTGATTTAAGTAGGAATCAACTATAATTTTTTTTCTTATATTACTTGTTTATAGTATCAAATTGACTACAAATGGTTCGATATTGTCCATTTTGTTATTCATTTCACCATTAGAATGTGCGTCTAAATGATTGCTCGTACTTTTCATTACGTTCCTCTTTTCAGATGACGTGGGAACAGGAATTGCATTGTTCATTTCATTTTCGTCATTGGATTCTGCATCAGTGATATTTTTTGAGCTTTGATGAAACTCCAAGAAGTCTTAGTCTGCCATAATTGGGGCTGCGGTAGCCGAGTGGTTAAGGTATGGGATCGTGGCTGGTCTTGTCACGAGTTCGAGCCCAGTACCACTAAAGACCCGCCGTGTAGGGCAGCGATGCACGTTAAATCTGTCGAGAGCTCAAACGTCCTCCCGTTGATGTGGTGTGGTAGCGTCCACGTCACCTGACCATGGTTCAAAATTCCGTGGTCCGTCGCCAAAAGCCCTCGTGTAGCTGAACAGTGCGGTGTTAATATTCACGCACGCACTCACTGCCATAATTGGGGCTGTACACACATTATCATCATCTACCGGAAAGAATTCTTCCGATGATACAGTAGGACAGTCCAATAATGTACAAACTTTCCCAAAAATTTCTTTAACTGTCGGCTCAGTTTCAATATCCTCCTTTTCCAGAAAGGAAAACTTCTTGTGTTAAGAGGAAAAAATGCATGGAAATACATAGTTTGTTGTGACTGTTGTATTATTTCGTGCTTAGCGTGCCTCTTCACTAAGGTTTCGGGGTTCAACCTCCATCTGTGCACCCAAAGAATTTTAATTTTTAGCTTAAAGTTAGCGCCTCAGAACCTTCTAATTTTTTTTTTTAAATGTAAACTCCTCCTATAAAAGTAGTCTGTGTTCGTCACTATACACATTAAACTTACTTTCAAATGTTTTACAAATTTTTTTAACGTTTTTTCGAATCGCTTCTTCCGTGTTTCAAATGTTTTGGTGTTTTTCTCTGTATGTTTTTGTACGTAGAGACGTAGGCAGATCAATGTATGATTGATCTGATGATTGTTTCAGATCCACAAGGAAAGATTTTTTTTAATTTCCTGTTTGAAAGATTTTTTTATTAAAATTTTAGCTATATTTTACATATGCGCGAGTTACTTCCGAACATAATTTGTTTATGCTCTTGTGACGGGCTCACGCGTCTTTTCTGTAACATAACCTCTGGGTTCTTTGACGGCCAAGATTAATGGCAAATCTTTTCCAACCCAAATCCAAGAAGTGAAATGCAATTGTAAAATGCAAATAAGATAGCTATTAAAAGAACAGTAAGCAGTATGGCAATTTAGGGAAAGTTACGTTTGAAGAGATAGAGTGTGAATTGACGGCCTATCAAAGATTACCAAGATTTCTAGCCATTATTACAAGGTGCATACTATTGCACGCGCGCCTAAAAGTCTCTGAAAGTGATTGAACCTTAGCTTGATTCAAGGTAGGACTGATTATTTGATATTAGGACTTGTAATATTATCAGAATTGAAGGTAGGCGGGTAATATAATTATTTATAGATAAGTGATCCAAGTTACGCGATTAGGTTTAACTACAGCTGTGTGTTTGGTTTATTCTCACTTAATATAAGTTTATCTAATTTATTAGAAATTTAAGTTATATTCTTAATAAAGTCATATTAAGAATTTTAAAATGTCGATTCATTTCGAAAATCCCACACCTCTAATTCACGCTGACAATCAAAGATAGGGTCGCCATAGAACGACCATATCACACTCTCTCTCTCTCTCCACATTTTCGATTTCCTATGTGTATATTTGCATCCTTGAAAACAGATTTCTACTATAAATACCCCTAGACATAGAATATCTGAATACTTGAATTAATTATTTACTATCGGCATACATATGAAGGAATATATTTAACAATGTAACTTTCTTTGACATGTATTTTGCATTTTATATGCAACTTCTCTTTGCGTCGTAGAATTTTTAATCTTAAGTCTAGAAAATAGTATTTTATAGATATATATTGTGAAGATATTATATTATTGTTCTGTATAATTAGAAATTTTGATACACCTGGTTGCCAATTCAGCGCGTTCGACACATAGAAATCGGCGTTGCCAACTTGGCGAGTTATTAATAGAGTTGCCGATTTTTGCTATAATACGTAAGAACCAAAATGTTTATTATTTTTTTGGTTCAAGTGTAGTATAGGGGGGCCACTTTGAATTTAGCGATTTTTCTTCGGATTTGGCGAATTTTTTCTAAATATGGTGAGATATAGAATTCATTCTGAAATAAATAATTCCTAAAAAAATACCTTGGCGACTGGTTTTAGTCACCAAAAAAAAGGACTGCGCCATGTGGCCCCCCTATACTACACTTGAACTATTTTTTTTTAATAAAATTTTTAAATGTGGTTGAAATATAATTCCTGTCCACACAAACTTTATATTTATTTTGATGCTTAAAATGTAACCAGATAAACATTTTCAATTTATTCAGTTTACTGATCAATTTTTTGTACACAATTCCATATATTAGAAAAATGTTATTTCCTGAGCAAAAGGTATTTAAGAGAAAGAGAGGCAATATATTTAAATCAAATGCAACTTCTTATTGTACTGAACTCATCGAAATTCCTCTGCTGAATATTGCAGTTTGACTGACGAATTTTCTTAAAAAATATTGTACAAGATTAAGTTTAGCTTACATGAATTTAATCTTATTGCAACTGCATTAAAACTAAAATAAACTACAATTCTCTCCGTTTATCATACATTACGCGAACTGGACCTACTTTCAGAACAATATTTTTATTTCATTTTTTTTCTATTAAAACAACGGTGGATTTGAAATTCCTTTTATGGGTTAATTTTGCTTCTGTAAAAATTAATTAAATTAATACTCAATTCAGAACTTCGATTTACACCTCTTTGATCTTGTTTAAAAAAAAAGAAATAAATGTATTTTAATGCAGAATCAAACACCGATTATATGTATTCCAAAATTGAAAAAACAGGATCAAAAGCATATAAACAAGACATTTTAAATATTAATTGAAATATTTTAAACTTTAATGTTAATTGCATATATTTTTAAAATAACAATTAATGATACTTTCTTCTTTATTTTTTTAAAATTGCTTAAAGTTAATCAGATGGCTTAAAGATTCACTGAGATTAAGCTAAAACACACATGCCCGCACTAAATCAAATAAATAATTTGTTAAGATTGTTTCTATATTTTGTATTAGGTTTTTGAATATTGATATTATGTATATTATAATTAATCTTAATTAGAGTATATTCCAGCTGTGTGAAGAAATAGTTTAAAAAAAAGTGCAGCGTAATGAAAAATTAGCATTTTCAAACTTCAAAAAATATTACATATTTGTAGTTTGTCTTAATTGTTAAGCCAATATGTGGAATAATATTTGAAAATAAGGTACTTACGTATTATACCATCGACCGATTTCACCAAATGAAAAGACGTTGTCAAATAAAAAAAATTGCCAAATATTGTCATAATTATGCTGTTGTTACTAGTGCCACCAGATCGGCAAAAACCAGATCGAAGCCCACGAAATTCACCATGGCAAAGCGCTGAGTGATGCCTGTCGTTAGCTGTAGCTTTGAGCGCCATACAGGTGACAGTAGAATTTCGGTCGTTTTCCACCCCAATTTTGAGGAAGAATACCCCTAGGGATTTCCACCTCTCTTTCTCTTCCACCAACCTCACAAGAGGACTTGAAGTTCGACGGCTATTTAAAGTACCCCCATGCCGCTAAGGTACTTATACATTTACAAATATCCATGCTGTCACTGAGATTCGAACCTTGGTCTTACGTCACAGCAGTCAGCGTTGCTAACCACTTTACCGGATGGGCGATGTCGTGCTATAATGTGTTTGAATATACGGGGGAATGGTTGCCATTCTTGGCTGCCTATCGCGACATTTGGTGACGTCTTTTGATTTGAAGAAATGATCTACATAAATTCATGACTTTCACTTGATAAAGGCAATAACATGTTCTTTTTAGAATTCAAATATAACATTAAACTTGTTCTTGTTGTTCTGTTTGTAAAATTTAGATAACAATTTAAAGATGTTCAAGTATTAAAAAAAATAAAAATCATCAAAAATTTTTTAAAATTAAAGAAAAATTCTTATGCTATACATGTATTTTGCTTATTTATACGCATTATTATTGTTGACAAATATGTATTTGTTAAAAGAAATTTTCTGCAAAAAGCACGAGTTGGCAACTGCAAAGCTCATGAAATGAATGGCTAGAAAGACACGATTGCATTTATCCATATGACAATGACATCACATGAGCATATTTCGTACATTTAGCCCATTGGTCGACGGTATAATACGTGAGTACAGAAGATAATTATTATTTAAAAAGTCTCAGAAGACCTTAACACATATAATTACTGTTCCTTCTTTTTCAAAAATGTACGTAAAAAAGGAAAGAGGTATTAAATGATTGAATGGAAATATTTGTAAATAATTATAGCATCAGTTTTGTGTAATATTTACAAATACCTCTGAAATTTTTGTTTTTGAAACTGTCACAAATATAAGCAATAAATAAGTGTAAAACAAAAGTAGTAACAGAGAAGTAAAATGAATTTTTCATTAAGGTATCCGACTACGTTCGGAACCGTGATTTTGCAAAATCGTATAAATGGATAATATTTATGATATTTAGTGTCACTTAGATTAGAAAATGTATATAAAATTGTTTTAAGAATAGTATTACAATAAAAAATTATT